CTGTCATTGCATAAATTCATCCCACCAAACTCTTCAGCAAGTAATGCCAGGTCTACACTGGGGCAATGATGAATTTAAAAAGGTATGCAACTCCAGCTATATAAATAGCATAGCTGAAGTCTACAAACCTCAGTTTGATTTACTGCAGCATCTCCACTGTGGAGGGTTAATGTGAAAAACTCTCCCATCAACTCCCCTTCCTCTTCTCGACCTGGTGAAGTAGCGGAGTTGATGGGAGCGTGATCAGCAAACAATTTAGCAGGTCTTCATTTGACCTGCTAATTTGACACACACACACCCAGGAAATCGATGCCCACAGCACCAATCTTCCAGTAAGCATACACAAGGCCTAAGAATCAGCATTCAGTAAGGGCCTCAAAGTGGTAGCCAAATTTTCTTACAAAAAAACCCAACCAAACAACAACAACAAAAAAACCCCACCTTATTTGGCTACTTCTAATGATGCTGGAGGTCACGCAAGCTAAAAATCCTAGGGGCCAGTTCTTTCCACTCCTCTCAACTTGCTAAGTTCTAAAACGTGGGACACAATGTGATACAAAGACCTCAGACACACACACAAAGTTATTTATGTAGCAAAGTTAGGGTGCACAGGAATTTGTGATGTAAACAACAATGAAAAAAGCAGATACTTTAGTTGCACAGGTAAGTTGGTGGTGCACAAGTACCTAGGACTTAAAACAAGTGATGAAGTGAGCTACACTTGAGAGGTAGGATTCCTTTTAAAGGTTGGATTCCTTTTAAAGGTTATGAAAATAAGCTCTCAGAGACAAATCTGTTACAAAGAATTGCAGCAAAAGGTGAACCCAACATGCAAAGTTCTGTCCCAGAGCTGATCCAGATCCCAACATGGTGATGTGGCAGCTTTGTGGTTATGAAAGGGAGCAACAGCAAAGCTCAGATCTAGAACTGATTTGGGATTTTTAAACCACTCACTCCCCTTCCAAATTTTAAGAGTGTTCAGTTCTGGAGTTGGGTCCAGACCTAGTTCTGGTTTAGGTTTTGAACAGACAAAATATTTAAGGCTTCAAAAGCACACAAACATTTTCATTTTCATTTCTTACCTTGCATATCCCAGATTTGTGAGCCAGTGAAATGAAATTTTGTTTACAGTAATCCAATTAGCTATGGTTACACCCTTTCCTAGCATGCTGCCTTCTGTGAGAAAACAAATCCGTACATGGGAATACAGTTGAACAAATCAGCTCTGTTTGGATACCCTTTTTCTAGCTTTAACATAACTCTCCAATACAAACACAGAGTCAATCATGCATTCATTCACTGGAGCAGGTTTAATTTGATCAATAGGTTGGATGGTGAGAGCTAGCCAGAGAAACATTTTTGGCAGTGCTTGTTAGCCAAGAATCGGGAAAAACAAAACAATTAGTCCCATTCCTTCCTTTCCTCAGTGTTCCAAAGGTGCCCAAATTAAGAATCCATTCACTCAAGTGCAATCGACAACATCTGAAGGGGCAGAACAGCTCACACTACATGAAAGGATCAGACTCGATTTCAAAATGCTAAATAAGGAGCAATATTCCTTATGGAGTAAAGGTCAAGTTGTCCCCACATTAAGGCTTTGTCTATACCAGGAAGCTACACTAACTTAACTAAAGACGCTAAACGTAGATTAACTAATCAAACAGTCGATGGGATTTCCTGCTGCTGGTCTCTTGCTACAGTTCAAAAGCAGAAGCCCCATGCTCTCTGTGGCATCTCAGCCTTTGAAATGTACAAGTTTCAAAAGAAAGCCCTGCAGAGAGCATGGGACCAGCTGGGGATTCCTACTGGCTCAGCGCTCCCTGCAGTGCATCAACCTTGGAAATATACAAGAGCCCCAGCAGGCACCGCAGGGAGTGTGAGGCCAACTGTGGGGCTTCTGCTTTTTAGATGTACATGAGCCCCACCAGGGCTCGTGTACATTTCAAAGGTTGAGGCATGGCAGGGAGCACGGGGCCAGCGGGAGTTGCCCATTGGCCCTGCGCTCCCTGCGGGGCTTCCTTTTGAAATGTACAAGAGCACCACTGGGGCTCTTGTACATTTAAAAAGCAGAATTGCAGCAGAAATGGTGCGAACAGAGACTGCTACAGTTCCCACTCGCGCTGTTTCCCCTGTGCCTCTACCTCCCCTGCCCCCACAGATACGGTGCCAGGGGGAACTGACTTTTAATCCGGCTTCCCCCAGCACCAGCTCCTGCTCCCCCCTTTTGCTGTCTCTCTCTCTCTGATAGAGGCAAAAAGGGGGTAGGGGAAAGCGACCAGTCGCATCACTAGTCAACTAGTCACTTATATCCCTACCAAAGACTTGATTTTAAACAGGTTTAGGTAAACTAGTACAATCCCATATGGACCCTTATTTCAGTTTGCTTTAGATGTTGAAGTTTCCGATGTAAATGAAGCTGAAATTCAAACAGGGACTACAACCAGCTGAAATCAGTTTAGTAACCAATTGAAGTTGAACAACTGGTATGACTTTTCTGTCTAGCCAAGGTGCTCTTTACAGCTTCATAACCCCAGGGGCACACATTAATTTTCCAGGGATACAGGGGAACCGGACATTTCAGATCACAAGTTCACCTGTGTCAGTGAACAACATTTCTTTATTTCTGAGTATTCACCTGGAAAGTTGTCCTCCTCCAAACCCTTTATTTGAATGGCAGTGGCCAAAATTCTGCCTTCAGTTCCTCCTACTGACCTAACTTACTATTGCAGTGCAAAACTTGACCAGGACTACTGTTCCCTTCCATGGAGAAGCCTACAATAGAGTCAAATCCCAATGCTAACTCTGACATGAGCCTGGCCAGTTTCCTCTGAATTGGCTCTCTGCAGCAAGGGATTGCTGAGGGAGATCTTGTAGTGCAGGTTATGTTTACAGAAGTCTATAACATCCTGCTTCCCAAGCTCTTATCCATGGATGTGCATGTCCATTACCAGCTATGATCGTTGGTGTTCTCCACAAATGCTGTCCCAAATCTGCCCTTGGGCAGGTTTCAATATATGGACAGAGAAACTGCAGCAGATGATGGTGATGAGACCAAAACTGCCTTTCTCCTTTATGCTCCCGGAACATGTACAGAACATCCAGGAAGGCGCCACCAACAGGGAAGTATGAAACAGTGAAACTCTTCCCCCATTCTGTATTTTAGGACCTAGCTCCACTGGCTTGGATTTCTCTTCCCACAAAGTAACAGGAGACAGATTCCAGATTCTGCCCATACTTACACAACTCCTGCCCCAGTGACAGCTGACCCAGGGTGCTGAGGTATCGTAAGTGCAAAGGATGTACAGTTGTACCAAAGGGCAAACTGTGAGATATTCTGGATGTTGCGCATTATTGTGCAAATTTGTTCTACACAGGGGTATCATCTAAGGGTGTAAGTGCTCAAGTTGAACAGCTTGCTATGAGGTGAGCTTATTCAAGTACAGGCAGTCCCCGGGTTACGTACAAGATAGGGACTGTAGGTTTGTTCTTAAGTTGAATTTGTATGTAAGTCGGAACTGGTACATATTGTAGGGGAAACTCTAGTCAAACATTTCTCCAGAGCTCAGTTTTATTCTCCCACACCTCACTTCCCTCAGTCCTTTATTCTCAAGCTGAGGTGTCTGCTGAGAAAAGCCGCTCCACGTCTCCCTGGTCTGCTGGGGGAAAGCAGCTAGTGCGGGGTTGCCTCACCCCGTTTGTAAGTAGGGATCTGATGTAAGTCGGATCCATGTAACCCGGGGACTGCCTGTACTCAAGAGGCATATTTGTCAGTGTAACGGGATAACCACTGAAAGTGAATTCCAGTAAATTGTTGTCCTGATTTATAATGTTTTTCCCCCCAAAAGGCTGTTCCTTTAGAGTTAAGCTATGAAAGATTATTTAATTTTGATTTCACAATCAACAAGATCAGTTCTTACCTGTGTGCAGATTTGCAGTTCACTAACCAGAGCAGAATGGGCTTTTATTCACCTGGACTTGGCTACCCTGTTACTTAGATAATTTGTTATTGCTCCATTATTCCTGTAATCTTTTGAGTTGTAGATAACAGTATTGATTTTAAAAAGCAATCAAAATATGCCTGCCCTCCAATGAACACACTGTCCTTGTTGTGCCTTATTGTGTATCTTCTAAGGGCTGCCTACTTGTGAACTATGAAAAAAAAAGATTCAATGTTGTGGGTTAGTTAAATGGAGAAATAGCGTGGGGTCATGGTTTATTTTTTATGTTTTCTATTTGTAGACCCCTAAAAAATTTCAAATTGAGATGCAGAACCTTTTGGAAATCTTAGACAGTTTGCGGACAGGGGTCTACAGACCATGGCTTGAAAACCACTGCCTTAGAGTAAAACACTCACACATAAAACAAACCAACCAACCACAGATTTTTCCTGACACTACAGATCCATCTGGAACCATGTAGGAGACCAGCAATTCAGGGAGCCCTTCTTTGTGGGGTTCTTCCATAGAAGAGGAGAGAAGGAAGGAAGAGTTTCAATGCTCAAAAGCAGCACATCCCTCCCAAAATCCATGAGGAATCTGTGGAAGACTCTTTGGCTATGTCTAGACTGCAAGCCTCTTTCGAAAGAGAGCGTCTAGACTGCACGCGGAACTTTCGAAAGAGCAAGCCACTTTTTCGAAAGAAAGCACCCAGTGAGTCTGGATGCTCTCTTTCGAAGAAGCCCTATTTACATTCAAGAAGAAAGAAGCACTTTCGAAAGAAGGCGTTCTTCCTCGTGAAATGAGGTTTACCGCCGTCGAAAGAAAAGCCGCGTTCTTTCGATTTAATTTCGAAAGAACGCGGCTGCAGTCTAGACGCAGGTGAAGTTTTTTCGGAAAAAGGCTACTTTTCCCGAAAAAAACCCTGAGTCTGGACACAGCCTTTCAGAGGAGTATCTCCTAGACCCGTAGCCCTTCTTGCCCCTGAAAAAGAGGGGTTACACACATGGAGGCAGAAATGGAGTATGAGCATCTTAAATGTTGACCGAGTCACTATGAACTTACAAAATGTTGGTGTCCTGCTACATCTGGGCCATGCTCACGGAGTCCTGCCCCCCATCCAAAGTTATCATTTGTGAGGTTTGGGAAGTGAAGAACACCACCATATGCAGAACTCCCCTGGTTCCTTCAGTGCTCTGACCCTATTATGCACAGAAGCAGAGGGCACAAAATGGCCCGTATGATCTGGTCAGGGATGTGAGCTTGAATCTAAATATGATATTCACCATTTAAGAAACAAAGACATGATTATTTATAAAATAAATGAGAAAAGTCAAAAATAGACATTACTCATACAGAACTATTGTTCACATAGAAAGATCAGCTGCAGAGGGAACAGAAATTAACAAGCCCTACTCTTAGAGCTGTGCTGGCATTTATCAGCAACAATGGCACATGAACAAGGAAGTAAATAAACAGGGCCAGAAGAATTAAAGATCATAGGATAGAGGGGAGGCCTGGGAAAACGAAGACAAAAGGAGCACGAGAAATTCAGAGGGAAAAATGTTTTTTTACTCCAGGTTCTAAGAAATTTTTGAAACAGTGCAAAGCAGGAAAACAACAAGAAGGTGCACTGGACAATGTCCCTTCCAAATATCTATTGATGTAGCTATCAGGAAGATCCACCTACTTTATAAAAAAAAATCTCTTTGTCTCTTCCTAAAAGGGACCCGGAATGTTATTCCAAATGCACATATGGGGCTTTTTTGGGTGGGGAGTGGTTGTTGTTGAATGTTTTGTTTGTTTTTTTCCCCGGCAATCATGCTTGCCTAAATCTTATTCTTGATACTGGACATATGCTTTATAACTGATGGGCAAAAGCCTTGACAACACGACTCATGAAAGTAAGTTTTATTTAAGTGGTATGATTTAATTGGATGAAAATTCATGTGTCTGTACTTCTGACCACGTTCAAGAGGGATCAAAAACCAACGACATGAAAACAGTGGTCTGGTACAATGATGATGCATTTAGAACTGGCAACAATATAAAATTGTATAGGGACTAATTTTAATCCCAGTCAAGATAATGGGCAGATTCCCATTAATCTAAATGGAAGCGGGAGAGGACCTATACTGTGCTTTTCTTTTATGATACAGTTTCTTACCTCACATACATCATATAAATATGTACTATTGTGGATTGTCAAAGTATGCAATGAGACTGTCTATACATAACAGTGACAATACTATTATAATCAAATGCATCTTAACACCACCTTGCAATTATGTAGTGCTTTTAATCTGTTCAGCTCAATGCACTTTACATTGGGCAATATCTGGCATGGTTAGAAGTTGACAAATGTCATGCAGCAAGACAGCAGTAGATCAGAGAATAGAGCCCTGGAGTGCCGATTTCCCATCTTTATGCACTGAATCACACTGCCTCAGGGTACATCAGGATTTGTAAACCAACATTTTTTTGGTAACAAGTGAAAATGCAGGCAAAAACAAGAGTGCCAAACCAACTCTCTCACACATGAGCACAGTTAAACGTCTAATAGATTCTCATAATCAACTTCTAAAACTAAAGATTAAAGCCATCTTTCCAATAGACAGATTTTAGGCAGCTAACAGGGATAAAAAGGCTTCTGGCATAAATTAGAGCAGTTTTGGGGGTGCTCTAATTTAGGTCAGCCTCCCCATGAAGACTGTGGATTGCACAGTTGCACAGCACAAATCACACAGACACGCTCACCTTTCACATAACCCCTGCATGGGAGCCTGTGACGGAGAGGGTAGGACATTTACAGCAGCCATATCCTGCTGAGTCCATACTTACTGTGGTCCTGGAACGGCCTGCAGGGGCCAGAATCAGCCCCATCTTCCTTGTTAAATTAGATACTTTTGCTTGCAAGGAGACTTGACTTTTTTGCTAATCCCAATTGTAATTCCTTTCATGCAAGTCTGCCTGACCCATCTTCAAAATATTTCCTTACATTAGAGAGCAAAATGGTTCTGCATTCTGGACCAAGGGTGGAACTGCTGACAAAGCTACTTTGCTGTTGATCAGGCCCCTTAACCTGTATCTCTGATCTCCACAAGACAGGAGTTGTTAAACCACAGTGTCATAAGTATTAAAACCAACATTACTTTGCAGATGCACCAGCATCACATGTTCATCTTAGATAGGATTGGGCGGTAATTAGATAGTGGCAGGGGGAGGGGTTGTTGGCATTAAAATTCAACCTTTTTCCTAGTGATTAATACACTCTTCCTACTTTGTTTACAAGTGGATTGGTTTGGTTTGTTCCCCCCTCCCATGTTCTTCCCCTTTCCCCAGATGCAACATTAATTTCAGTTTAGATTGCTAACTTTCAGATAGCAGAATGTCTCCAGCTTTCTGCTAGTAACTCAGAGACTGGCAGCGCTCACTTTAATTTTCTGGCCATGTCTCCTGGATTGTAATTTTTAATACTTATCAAAAGGCAACCTAAACTTTGCAAAGAAATAGGCTGTGTTCAGTGCACATTAATTATGGTGAGAGATGAGTGAGGTGGAACAAGAAAATGGACTTCAGTTTCAACCTCTTTAATCCCCATAAAGTTTGGGGCTGGTCAGAAACTAGATTTACTACAACTCTGAGACAGCAAGGCAGCTGCAGAACTGGGATCAGGGTTCTGGTAGCTGGATCTGTCCATATATGTCTTCAAAGGAAAAAGTTGTTCATGAACATAATTAGTCTAGCCAGCCATAAAACAAACAAGTTATAAGATACTTTCATAAAGTGCTTTTGAATTCCCATTTCTGTAGTTTTACAAACACATCCTCCTGCCTTTACACCTATTTTTCTCTCTCTTGTTGCAGTAAGAGCCACTCACATAGAAAGAAAACAACCTAAGAGGGGAAGGGGAAACAGGTAAGTGAAGGCCCTGATCCTGAGATCCGGGTTGCGGGCATGCACCTAACGACAGGACAGGCCACACGAGGGGAAACGAGAGAGGACCACACCGAAAGGGGCCGGTTCTGCACGTCCTTGAACCTCGGGGAGCGTTTACACGTGTGCGAAGCGAGCACGACACGCTTGCAAGGGTCTGATTCGGGGCCGTTTGGCACCCAGTCTGCACAGGCGGCACAGGAGTGGAGGGCGCCCCAGGCGCTGCCCCGTGCGCCCAAGCGGACAGACAGTAAGGGGGGGATGCCCCGCAGATCCCCTGACTGCAGACAAACGTGAGCAGCGCAGGCTGGGGGGGCAGCCAGCGAGCCTGGCGCAGCTCGGACGCATCTTCGCCCCCACTGGCCCGGGCAGCTGCAGCCAGCGCAGGGGGCTCGCGGGGTGCCCGCCCCGGGGAAGCCGGGATAGAGTGTCGGG